TGTTGTATCAGTATCATCACCAAGATTAACGGTAGCAAGAGCACCTTTTTCGAACGAGTTTCCATCAGACCAAAAAGCCCATAGAGCAGCTTCGAGAGAGTTAACAACATAGCCTTTTCCACGAATACCTTGTTCATATCCACCTTTCTTTTTAAATGATCCTTCAGCAACTAATATAATATCTTCATGTATTGATTCATTACCGAACCAATGTTTGTTTTTTTTATAAAAGTCTTTATGAAGTAACTCATCTTTATCGTAACCGTTAAGAGCACCTATAATCAGAGCTGCATAATAACGACATGCATCAACTGCTTTCTTATCGGAATGAGTAAGTAAAGCACTACGACCGGCGTATTCGACAGCAATAACAGGTGTTTTAAAATAAAATAATGGTACAGGACAAAGACGCATAAGAGCACCATTTCCAGCAGAATCTTCTTCACTGCAATACATATTAAAATCTTTGATACGTTCGATAGACTCCAATGTCAATGTATCAACTTCATACTCATTACGACAACGATAAGGTACTTTAAGAATTTCTTGACGCAATGTAAATTCTACAATAGATTGACGAGTTGCTTTACCAATGTCAAAGCAATGTCCTGTCGATGAAAAATATCCATGTTTATGCCACCATTTATAACGAACCATTTGATTATAGGGATTAAAACCATTCTCAGCAATTAATGATGAAGCAAGGCATAATGCCATTGATGTATCATCAGTCCATTTACCTACATCCAGACCCCATGTACCCCCACCTTGCATTTTACTAACGGGATTAGCAGCAAGATATTGTTGTGGACGAAATTCTACACTCGCTCCTAAAGCATCACCAATAGCCAATCCTATAAGTGAACCAATGATTTGATTACAGATATTATTGTCTCTATTATTTTCAGGTGTTTTCTCAGTTTTAATTTGATCAGGAAGAATTTTATCATACGGACATGGGAATTTTAACATATTTTATAACTAACAATATAAATATAATCTAAAAATAAAGAATTGTATAACTTTACATATTCCTTTCGATAAATCTTTTCTTCACAATAAAGATCATGATTAACTTCAAATAAATTCTAGTATGCATATATAAGTCATAGAAATAGAGAATAAATTAAAATATTTTATGATAAAACAATACAATAATTATTTATTTTATTAATTTTGACATAATACAGATCATGAATACTAAATGAAGTTCTTCGATGTAATGTCAAACTCTACTGATTTATTCTTTGCTAAAAGATTTAATGATTTTTACGTTCCCATTGTTCTCCTTCGTATACAATCCATTTACTTAATGTTTTCATAAATTCATGAGCATAAACATGTTGAAGCCAGTGTTCCGGTAATTTCTTATATCCATAGTAAGCACCAGCTAACTGACCATAAATAGCAGCTGTTGTATCAGTATCATCACCAAGATTAACGGCAGCAAGAGCACCTTTTTCAAACGAGTCTTTATCAGACCAAAAAGCCCATAAAGCAGCTTCAAGTGCTTTAACAATATAACCTTTACCTTGAATACCATCGTTATAGCCACCTGCTTTTTTAAATGATCCTTCAGCTATTTTTTGAATCTCTTCATGTAATGGTTCTTCACCAAACCAATGTCTATGAGCTGAATAAAAGTTTCTAGCAAGTATTTGTTTTTTTGTATATCCACGAAGAGCAGCAACGATTAATGCACCATAGTATCTGCATGCATCTCTAGCTTTTGCATCACCATGAGTAATTTCTCCACTTCGACCGGAGAATTCGATAGCAACGTATTTATTTCGATAGAAGAATAAAGGCACAGGTGTGAGACGCATTAAAGCACCATTACCAGCAACTTCATCTTCACTACAATATACATTAAATTCATCAAGATATTTACTATCTGAAAGTTTATCTATTAATTTATCAGAAAGTTTATTATCTTGTCCAAAACGTTTTTGACGCTCTTCAAATTCGTATATAGATTGACTGGTAGCAGCGCCAATGTCAAAACATTTCCCAGTCGATGACATATATCCTAATTGGTGCCACCATTTATATCGAACCATTTGATCATAAGGAACGAAATCTTTACGAGCTAGTAACGAATTAGCTAAACATAGAGCCATCGAAGTATCATCAGTGAACTAAAAAAAAAGTTTATATATTTCATTTCATTTTTTAGATAAAAATTCAACGAACTGACACCTTTGATAATAAACTAGATTTAGTAGTTATGATGAAATTTAAAATATATTTTTTTTATTCATATTCTACTCGGCTATCAAATTCAGAAATATTAAAATCGTATTTAAGACTTTATTTTGTTGTTTCTTGTTGAGTTATAAAACTAATGATATCTCAGTTAGAAAAGAATTGAAAATTAATTCACATGGTTATTGATTATAACTACAAAGTCACTTTATCATAAAATTATTTGTGAAAAAGTAAAGATTAATGATTAAAACATGTTCTAAGTGTTAAAAATTAGAAAACTAAGATTAAATAATCATACCTGTCCTTTTTTAAGACCCCAAGTTCCTCCTTCGCCAAGATCTGTAACTGGATACTTAAGCATGTATTCATGTGGTCGAAATTCTACATGTGCACCAAGTGCATCACCTAATGCCATACCAATTATGGAACCTTGAATACGATTTAATATTTCTTCATCGATTTTTCCTGGTGGATCTTCCATATCTTTTTCGAGTTCTTCAGGTGTTTTAATTGTTCCGTTTTCATGAAATTGTGGGTCAAGCCATTTCTTATCTAAGAAAAAATTAACATAATAGTTAAAATTTTGATTTTCAAACAAAAATATGGAACATAGAGAATGAAGTTAAATGATAATTACATTCGATCATTTTCTTAATTACAATTTTACAAGTATATTCGACATTGTAATATTGAAAATAGTTTATATATAAATTAGTATTAATACGTAAGATATTTTTCTTAGAGAACCTCACGTATCACGTTGAAATTTTTCCATAAACTATCTGAATTTTTAAAAACTTTTCAGTAATTAAATTAATGGATGAAATATGAATATTTGAAAATAATAACAGATATTGTTTCCTAAGATTAAAAGATATAGATATATTATAAATATCTACAGATATGATCAGAATCATATACCGAAATCTACGGTAAGAAATTTAATCGACTTATTCTACAAATAATAATAACGAATATACCAACTTTATCTTTCCCTTTCTAGAATTTTTTAAAATCTATTTTGAATATTATATTTCGGATCTATGATAAATAAATCTCGGTAAATGCAACAACAATTGTCTTTAACTTCAAATTATTAGAGTTGTACGAGCTACGAATAATTTCTCTTGTTGTTCCACCTCATTATACATATTCAATTGAACTAGAACTTTTCTTAACAAATGCTATAAGAGTTTTAAAATGATCATATTATTTTTGATTTTTTTTCTATTATCCTCTTCTCAAAAAAACAGTACATCGATTTTTGAACTAGTTTTTTTTCTCTAATTATAAGATCATTTCTTTGTTGTTGAATAATACTACAATTGAAATAATTACATAGAAAAATGAAAATATTTTACTAATATGAATTATGTAACGAATAAAACGTGTATGTTATTTTAATTAAAAAATCTTATTATCTAACCTGCACGAAATTGACATGATGGATGATCAGTATCAGATTTATCAGTTTCAGATGCTGTAGGGATTTTATGATCAGGATGTAATTCATCGACGATAGGTTTTTTTTCCTTTCGTTTTCGACCTAAAAAAATTGAATATATATAGAAAGTAGATGTATTTATTACATAAAAAAAAATTAAATATTTACCACCATGTGTTGAATCTGTTAATTGTTGTTGAGAATTACTTAAAAATTCATCATCTGAATCCGGATCATTTGAATTCAATTGATTTTGATTATTTAGCAATGTTGATAAATGTGAATTCTCAGTGGTAGGTCCATCATTACTAGGTTGATTAAGATGAACAGATGAATGTGAATGATCATTAAATGATGGTTGTTCTTCATTAATTTGTTTATGATTATGAAGTTGATTTGTATCCTGAGAAGAAATATTTGGAGATTTTATTCTTGTTTCATTTGTATGCTGATTAACAGACGTAAATTGTTGTTCTTGATGCTTCTTTGAAACACTTGGACCTCGTGATTTTGTTAACTCGATATTATCCGTTGTTAATTTAGTATTTGGTATATCTTCTGAATGAGTCGATGAAGTTATATGAGGTTCATTATCATCAGTCTTATTTGATATAGTTTTTTTTCTTTTAAACAGAAGGGTGGGTGTGCGTGTAAGTGTGGGATGAGTGTAGGTGTGGATACAACATGAACTGTATATCCATACCCACCCTAGAATCTTTGTATCACAAAAATCGTAATAGTTCTACGAAAGAAAAATCTATTGATGCGTTCATAGCAATCTCATAGCATCACCTATTGTGTTTTAAAGACAACCTTTCATGGGGATGATCTCTTTTTGGCAACAAATATAATTGTCTCAAGAAAATCATCTCGTAATAAAAATGAAGATCAGTTTAATGTCTTTCAATTTACTTTTTTACTTGAAAAATAAGAATATTAGAACAGCTATACTCATACTTTTCATAGAAACTACACAAGTACTGATATATGAATCATAATAAATAATAAAAGATTATTTAAAGATCAATAATTAGTCAATGAATAAAATAAACAAAAATACAAAATTAGAGATTTTTACGATTTTTATGATAAATCTAGATGAAGTTTTAATTAATTCGAAATGTTTTACAATTAAAATATCAAATCGATAAAAAGATTTTATCATAAAACGAAAATTAAATATGTTTCGTAAATTTTATCAATTTTCATCCTTATATCAAGATATAGGCTAAACTTTCAGCAAATTAACTATAACTCAAAGAGAAAGCGCTATTAGCCGCTATGTTTTTAGTCTTTTACTAGGCACACTAATATCTACTTATGCACAAAATATCAGCTCAAAAGCGAATTTTCAAGTTGGTGACCTTTCTTCGTCGGTGATACACATTTGTTGCTACATTACAAACAGATTTATATATCATCGAAACGCGCGAAGGTTTTTATTTTGTACAAAATTTTCAGATTATAATTGAGATCATAGTTTTTCATGCTTCTGAATGTCCTTTAAGTCACTTCTATTGTATTACTCACATCTCAGTGAGTTCAGGAAACGGTTACCTCAACATTTAAACAGGCAGAATTTGACCAAAATATTTGTTTATCATACATAAAGATCGTTTTAAAGCAGAGAATATCTGAAAATGAACTCTATAAAGACCATCAAAATCCTTTTTTAGCTGTCTAGAGAAAATAGCGTTCTGATGGTATATTTATGTAAAGAAGTCATTCTCAATTATTTTTTTCTTTGAAACAAAGTCTACATATGATGAACAGGTATTTTAGTCACAATCAGCTCGTTTAAATGTCGAAATATCGTTTTCTGACTCACTAAGATCAGCTATCTTAATTTACTTCTCAAGTTTCCATATATGTGTGTTTAATTAAAAGAGCACTATAATTGATGATACTAACAAAATAACAAAAAGTATTCTACTATAACTCTAAATCCTGAAAGAAAGGGTCCTAGTCCCCTAAAATGTTGTTCCGTTTACTCGCGCCCTCTTTCGTTCATATCTTCAACCAATCAGTTTAGAATATGCATTTTCTCTGTTGCGTAAAGGGTAGAGAACCATGATTGTTCTGTTAAAATAATAGGTCTGGTTGCTCTCTTTCTGTTTCAGTACAGAGATTTCTATGTTTCTTCTTGATAACAAGAGAGAGTACGTCCGCTCAGAAGAAAGGTGCGTGTTTGAGTAATTTTATGAGGATGTGGATGTGTATATTGTATTCATTCACGTTCACATTCACATTCAAGATAGTGACTGCCATTGCTGATCTTTACTCAATACTAGCAATGTATTCTATTTGTTAACATACCACGCTGTGAAACAATCTTACCAGATGCACCGACTTTCGGGTTTGGGCTCGACGCTGATGCTGTTGTGGCTGCTTGCTTTGGTATTATCTTTGATTCAGTAATATCATCTTTCACTTTCAAATCTTTCAGTTTTCCAGCAGATAAATCAACAGAGTCATTTGTACATGCTACTGGGATGAGCATTGGTTCATCGGAGTGAACTTCTTGCAGATGTATAATTCGAAGACCGTGACCTTGATTGAGAATACCTTTCACTTGAAACTCAGTAGCAGCAAGCAATAGTACTTCGTCTTCAGATGGGAAATACGAGTGTTTTCGAATATCTCTAGCTGAATTGCAATGAATAGTAAACATTGTTCTTGTACCTTCCATGCCTAAGAATTGTTCTGATTGAAGAACTTTGATGGAAGTTGTACAGGAAGAAAAGCCCCACCATATGAATGTTTCGTCTTCTTCAAATTGTTTGCTCAAATCCAATTTGATGCCTCGAAATACAGTTAGGTGAGGAATCGGTGGAAGGCGAAATAATGCTCCAAGAAAAAGGCGAAGAAAAAGAAACCATGATTTAAGATTTGATCGATTTTTTGACCGTAGAGTAGCATTCAAAGCGCAATAAAGGCATTCATTCAATGGCTCCCATCCCATTGAATAGAGCATGATCGAAGCTGACTCATCTTGCGTTAAATTGTCAGCCGGCTTCTTACATTTCTTTTTGGCCGCACGTGCGTAACTTTTCACTGTTGGTAGTATAGATACGAGTGGTTCAACTGCTTCTTCAAGTGAAACAATAGGCATCTTCTCGTAACCGCTGATGGGCATAAGAACATCCATAGGTTCTTGTGCAATGTCAGTCAAACGAAGAACACGTTGAGCAAAGTATTCATCTTCACCACCTGTTGCCATAACGAGCACAAACGACTAATTTAGATATGAGTTATAAACGACAGATATGTATCTGAAAGTTAATCGGACAAGATATATAAGGTCAACAAGAAAACGTTACTGGTTCAAATATGAAAGCAAAAGAGCATTGTTAATTCAATTCAACCTATTTTATACTACACCGAAATAGAAATCAATGGATGAGGGTGTGGGTGTCACTAAAACAAGTGATACCTATACCCGCATCTTCAATTAAGAATATTCGAGATATACATGATGTTTATACTCTTATTATGAAGAACAATGAGACAATAATTTCATTTTTCCGCCAGAAAGGTTTTTTTTATTTGTTATGTTAGTAGATATTCGGTGATTTATATAAACGTACTACACTTATCATAAAATTCATGAAAAGACAGTTTTTTTAATACAAAGAAAACTAATAAAAATTGATCTTAAAGTTGGTTTATTCGAAAGCAAACGAACTATTAGTAATCATTGAATAAACCGAAGCATTTTGGTTCGGATTCAGATGAAGCATAAGTATATGCCCTTTCTATCAAAAAGAATTTATGACTGAAAAACAATCGATTCTATTTATAACGAGTTATTTTAAATAATTGAATCATTACCAACTAGAACGAGTGAATGTGAGGTGGAGATTGAGGATGTGCGTGAAACAGAATAGCCACATCCTAACCATCTGCATCGGTGATCGTCCTAGTTTATAAGGATTTAGTTATTTAAAATTAATTCTTATAAAAATTATAAATCTTCACTCGAACTTTAGTTCATGGTCGATATAGGCCTATTATTTATTGATATACATTTGTTGTCTATCTCAATTGCTTATATTATTTCAAAAAAAAAGAACTTTTCTCATATTTAAAACAGATCATAGTTCATCGAAACTCTGACTTGAGCACAAATGTCAACATTGAGTGAGGAGACTCAATGTGAAACGACAAATATAATTGTATGTCTATCTCTTATTTAACTATATCATCATCTACACTTTTATTCAATTTTATCTTTATTCTCAACATAATTGTTCTATGATATTCTCTATACTCATTTTTCATATTATTTCAAAAAATAAACTTACCAAAATGAAACTATTTCAAACAATTGAATTTCTGAACTCGTGATTTTTGTATAATTATTTTGATATAAAATAAGAATTCCGTATGCCTCAATTTGAATTCCTTCTTCTTCGGTGAATAAATTCTTCTGACTGTTTTGTAAAAGTATAACATTTTATATTTCGTGTGTTTCTTTCCAACTATACATTTGATTTAGAAAAAGAAATTTGACAAAACATTTCAAGCGATGAAGAGAAGAAAAATAACAAAAAAACACATTTTTATTTTTGATCAAATGGATTTTTAGTCTTTCATAACGAAAAAACATTAAAGAATGAAAAATAAATAAAATGAAGAAAAATAAGGTTTTTGAAAATTGAAAACCATTTCAACTAAAAATAAACTTTCAATAGTTTCATTTTGTTAATTATAGAAATTAAAAATCTCAAATAAATTTTTCAATAAAAGAAAGTCGTTTGAAAATAAAAATATAATGATTTAATTGGAAAAGAGAAACTATATCGAAATAAATAACTATAAGACACGATCAGATGGGTGGGTGGGTGTGAGTGTGAGTGTGAGTGTGGGTGTAAGATAAATTTAATAACCACACCTACATCCTCAAGATTTAATGACTGAGAAAAATAACGTGCGCGATAGAACGGTGAAAGAATACTTTGCGTATAATATATTGACTAAGAGCGTCTACATGCCACTCAATTATTCACTGATTCAACTGTTCGAGTATTTCACTTTTCACATATTTAACGAAGTATTTAAGTATTCATCTGTTCAGCCTGTCTGTTACCGTTCCACTCTACGGAGACTATAATCGTCGAAATATTCGATTATCTAACTTTTCGACTTTTCTAATGATCCCATTTGCAAAGTTTTAGTGGGACAATTAGAATTTAAAACTAATATCATAGTCTGAAAAGTTTTAGTTGTGATTATTTATTATGATTATGAAATTATTTATTTCACCGTTACGCTACGAGATACAGTCATAAGTTTATTGTTCACACACTCTTTTTTGCGCTAAAACCTAAACTTCGCAAGGTACTTGATGTGATGAAGCACAATTATTTCCTTTTTACTGACGCTAAGATATATGAAGATGAGACTATTTGGTTCACCCTTATTATCACGTCTAGTTGAAAACTGTACTGAATTGATAGGTACTCGAATTCATCTTCGATCTTTACATTTATCCACTGAAGGACAAAAAAATAACACCGCACTTTCTACTTCCTACTGAGTTATGAAATAATTTTCTTCTCTTCGTATGAGAGTGACAATAATTTTTTCTGTAAAAGAAAATGTAACAATGAGAGCAAAAAATATTCCTTCCAGTATTCAGAATGTAAGAATGATGGTAGACACCTTTTTTCCGGGAAAGATCTGAGGACAAGAATAAATGAGTTTTTTCCAGAAAGGAGTGTAGGAATGAGAGCAAGAAAAATACGTCTGCCAATGAGAATGCAGGAATGATGATGAACAAGTTTTTTTCTGAGAAAGAGTCTGTGAGAATGCAGAAATGAGTATAAAGAAATTCCTCCGGCAAGGAGAATATAATTCTGATATTAGACAAGTTTTTTCAGGGAAAAAAATATAAAAACACAAACAAAAACACTTTTTTCACGAGGTAGAATGTTGGAATGAGAGTAAGTTATGTTCGCAGAAAATGCCTGCATATTTTGCTCACTTCTTGCAACTAAAAACGCAAGAAATCCTTGCATGATCTTTATCAAATTCTCAGGGATACAGAATGGAGATACTAACTAGGCGTCATGAGAAATAAGATTCATTTTTTAAATTGATTAGACTCTTTGCGTCATACACATTTTGACATTGCATTAAAAGTTGGATAGAAAAGAGTTTAATTTAAAGCACAATTTGCTTGATTTGTCGTGTTACGAGAGCTAGGATGGTCACGCAGATTATTTCAACTTATAAGAAATTAAAACTCGAATTGGTTGGGTTTGAGTGTGGGTGACGGTGTAGTAAGAATCCTTATCGTCACCCTTACTAACCCTCGCCTACACCGACACCCATACCCAAAGCTATTTATTTAACTTTTTCTTCAAATGATTTTAATGTGGAACTTACCAAAATGAAACTGCTTAGATGAGATGATTTGAAAAATCCAAGTAACTTGTAAATTTCTGATGCTATTATGTATATGTAATGATGTTTTCGCTTCGCGGAATTATTCGTTTTATTGATTTTATAAATTAATAATATTTGTAACTTTTATTTCAGCCACCCACGCATTTTATCGCAAAAGAATATGCACACATACAAAAAAAGTCATTCAAATATTTTGATTAATTTAAGTCAATAGAACGACTGGGATATGAATGACATTTTGAAGAAGAGAAAAAAACAATTATAAGTAATTTATATAAAAAGAACTGTATAATTCGCTTCGCCTTTCGGATTAATTTTGTCTTTTTTAACTGATATCCAATGCATGACAGAATCTTTTCTAAATATCATTAAAAAAATCATGTTAACGCAATATTAGGGTGTGGGTGTGGGTGAGAGTCAGAGTAATAGGTAAACGTCCACACCCACACCCACACCCTTAGACATTCATCGCAAGATATATCAGAAAGATATTTTATTTTCATAAGAGAGAAATCAAATCAACTGATTCACTTAGCTATATATGAATAATTATTTTGATTAAACTCAAATGTACTTTTTTCTTGATCAAACGTGAAAGATAATATTATTCATACAATGAGTCAAGAAATTATTCATCCAATGTGCGTTCTTATTTTATCATATCAAACAAACTGTCGTGAAATAATGTATCTTCATTTTTCTTCCTACAATGACTATAACACTGCAATTCACATCCTCGTTTTTACTAAAGAGAATCTATAAAAATTGAAGAAGAGTTTTTCGATTTCTGTATGTGTATCCATATGATCTATTTAAAATAGACTCGATTAAATTTTTTATTTGTTTTTTTTATATGTAAATGCATGTATAATAATGATTAGTTTGATAGATTCAATGTTAGTTTATAAAAAAAAAAGAACAGTTTTATCGATTTTAGTATTCGTAACTATGAGAGTTATAATTTCAAGGCTAATCACCTTATTCACCAATATGTCCATCACGATTCAAATCAATATGTGTAATTTTCTCCAATTCATTAATGAGACCATCATTGCTAGGTTGATGATAATGTGGAGAATTGTTAAAACCATTATAAGATTGATAACTTGAAAAATGTGCAGATGATCCTCCAATACATCTATCACTATTAAAATTACTATGAGTACCCTTTTCTATTTTATTCATAACGCCTTCACCACCAGAACGATGACAATGTGAATGACGATTGGAATCATTATATGATTGAGAATTTGGAATATGTGAAGATGATGCACCAATCCGCCCATCACCATTGAAATCAATATGAGTACTCTTTTCTATTTCATTCATGATACCTTCACCAGCCGAATAATTAATAGCTGAAGCTTCAATGAGATTATTATATGGTTGATAATTTGGAATCTGTGAAGGTGGTCTACCACCATTAAAATCAATATGAGTTCTGTTTTCCACTTGATTGACAAAATCTTCACCACCAGAATAATTCATAACCGGAGGTTCAATGGGATTATTATATGGTTGATAATTTGGAATTTGTTGAGGTGGTCTACCGCCATGGCAATCAATATGAGTTCTATTTTCTACTTGATTAACTCGACCTCCACCAGCAGAATAATTAATAACTGGAATTTCAGTGCGATTATGATATGGTTGAGAATTTGGAATTTGTGAAGGTGATCTATCGTCATGACAATCAATATGAGTTCTCTTTTCCATTTGATTGATTTGACCTCTACTAGGAGAAGGCTGAAAATGTGGAGGTTGTATAAATTGTCCACCAAAAGATCCATCACGATCGCAATCAATGTTGAGAGCATTTTCTAATTGATTGATTCGATTTCCACTTGAGGATTGATGAAAATTTGATTGTTGCATGAATTGTCCACCAATCAGCCCATCACCGTCTATATCTGTATTTGTAGATCGTTCCAAATCATTTATTAAATCATTAGAATCAACTTGAATAAAACTTGGAGGTTGCATAGGTGCGATATATGCATTGAAACCTGAACGAAACGAAGAACCATTATGTGATACATGTTGTGGAGGTTGACTACGTTGTCCACCAATAAATCCATCACCATTTAAGTCTGTATTTGTAGATATTTCTAAATCATCTATACAATTATCAGAACCAAGTTGAGGAAAATTTGGAGGTTGCATAGGAACACTATGCATAATGGAGCCTGACGAAAAAGAAGGACCATTATGTGGTAGACATTGAGAAGATTGACTGCGCTGTCCATCTATAAATCGATTATTATTGGAATTTGTATGTGTAGTTTTTTCGACTTTACTAAATGAACTAACATGTTTGTAGGATGATGATTGGTATTGATAACCATATGTCGATCCAGTATTAAAATCTTTTCAAAATAAATAAAAAAACGATTATAATATATAAAAATTTCAAAACTGAATCTATCATTTTATATAAGAGGAAAAGTATTTTTCTCTTTATTTGATGTATCTAATTCTAAATCATATTAAAGACATACTCATCTGAATTAATTTTGAACTTGGTTGATAAAAAAAACTAAAAACAAAAAAAAAATATTAAAATAAGAATATAAAAAATATATATTGAATTATTCATAAGTACAAATATATATCAATATGATGATCAAATAAATATCACCTGTATTTTTGTCTATATTTATATAATGAATAAATATACGTTCTTTATTTTCTTTTTCTTTTTTTTCGTCATTTCAAGTAAGAAAAGATCGAATGAGATAAACACGCAGACACCTGATATTTATTTTATGTATTTAAATATTATTTTTTCTTTCTCGAAACATAGATATGGTGAATAATAATAATGAATAACGTCAATCAATATGAATAACAATATTTAATATTGATAAGACAAAAATTATTAAAATGTATATTTGTATCTCAATTTGAATAGAATAAAGTGTAAATAAATGTGAACATATTTAATTTATTAAAAAAAAAACTAATTATGACAATGAAAATTCTAAAAATATAGATAATTAAAATAATAATTGAGTTTATTCGAAGATTAAGAAATACTTTTATTCATAAGTATAAAAATTTATTAATCCTTTATTTCAAAGCATTTAGATACTCTTATCAAAAAGTATTTATAGAATATACACATTTCATGAAATATGCTGAAGTTATTTTAATATTACCAAATGGCTTGATTATTCATATACGTAGCAGGGTGTGGGTGTGGGTGTAATCTTAGTCCTTCACCCATACTCACATCCTTGTGAGATTTTGTTTACAAGTATAGATCCCATAATTCAAGGTGTATTCCATTAGTATCTGTTAACTTGTATATATATTCTGCTTCGAATTTTTGTTATCATAGTTCGCAAAATGCTAAAATTTAAGAAGTAATGCAAACTTCTCTGTTGAAACTGTCATATTTAATGTTCATTCGATCCAAATCGTCATTCAAAGTGAGCTAGTGCTATCTTCTTTATCCATCTTTTTCAAATGGCATGTCAACTACTTTAAAATTTCTATCGCTTGTACACGCAGAAGAAGAGAAAAACAGGATATGGAAGAAAAAACTAGTAATTTTCTTCTCATATCTCATCTATGCAGCCCACCAACATGTAAAAAAATAATTTTAGTCATTATTTTATTCATCGCTAAAAATTATTTATTATTTAATGATACAAAGAACAGAACGGTAAATAATCCCCAGAAGATTATGCAGGGATCATTTTATGTATTATTTTTTAGAAGTGAGATACTTATGAAAATGAACATCTGCAAAAGTTTTCCAAAAAAACTGAACCGCGTTAGAGAAAATATATTTTCAACAATAAATATTCTATTCATTTTCAATTCTTCTCAATTTATCTTAGGCAGTATTTTACATCATTCTCTCACTTTCTTTTTTTTCTTCGATATTATAATCAATGTTATTTTATTCAGAAGAGTTTTTACACCAATAGAAAATAACAACTGACATCTGCACAATATTATATTTAGAACTGACTTAGAAAAAATGAAATAAGATTATTGTTTCTATCAATATACCATTTTTTTGTTCCACATGTTACAAAATTTTTAAGAGAAGAGCTATTTTTTTATTTAACTGATAAGAAATAGAAAATTTATATTATTTTCACGTTATTTTTAATCCTGTCACATAAGAATACATCAAAACTTTATTTTAACATTGTTTTATTTTGATTAATTAATGAAATATTTAATGAAAGATGATTTATGTTTTCTATAACTCTATCAATGATCTTTGAAGAAAAAAAAGTTTTGTTTTGTCGATTTTAGATTTTCAAATTCTTCATATTTAGATAAAAGAACAAGTATGAACATCGATGACACAGTAGATGTTGATGAAGTAATGTATTAAATAGAAAACACATAGAATAAAATAATCTTTTCGAATATTTTAGTCTATCGTAGTTAACTTAAATCCAACACGTTTACAAACATTGTATGTATATATAAGATGAATTAAAATAAATTATCAAAAGGATTTCTTATTTTTTTAGATACGAACATTTTCGGAAACGAAAACTAATTTGGATAATAGTTTCGATTGTTTTGATTGTTACAATTATAGCTATTCCAACAATTATTGTTACAGTGAATAAAGGAAAAGGAGAAAAAACATCAACAATACCGATAACAACAGTCGAGATAATAACAGCTACATTAGCAGTACACATAACAACAGTAGAGAAAACAGAAGCAGCAGCAGCAACACCAACAACAACAGAGACAACAACAACCGGTATGATTTTATTAATAGTAGTTCGTTTCTTAGAAAAAGTAATTCATGAAAGATAAATTAGTTCGAATATTGATTTTTCTTTATTCAGTCTTCGATATCGGTTGTCATAAATTATACTTTTATAGAATAATGTTAAAAGGCTCACTGAAGGGCGAATGAGAATGTAGTATCGAATTCATACCACATCCGTCTACAATCAGACCTACCTCTCTCATAGTTTATATGTAGTGACCTTAAAATATTCTGTTCATCAAAATAAGATATGTTTTTCTTGTTTTAATCTTTTTTATACCTTTATAGAAGAATTAATTCCTTTGGTTATTATTAATGAAAATACAAAATGGAAACAAAGTACAATTACTGTTGCTGGAGGAAATGGAGATGGAGATCAATTAAATCAATTAATTCATCCTCAGGGTATTTATGTTGATGAGGATAGTGGAGATATTTATATTACTGACGTTGGGAACCGTCGTATTGTTCGATGGAAATTTAGTGAAGACACTGGTGAAATTGTTGTAGGTGGAAAAGGGCAGAGTAGTGGTATAGATCCATCGATGGTGTCAAAAGATATAATTCTCGATAAAGAGAAAAAATCTCTCATCATTTGTGATCAAACCAAAAGACGAGTGATACGATTGTCTCTTCAAAATAGTCAGGATATAGAACCATTAATACATGATATTACTTGCTGGGGTTTAGCAATGCATAGCAATGGAGATCTTTATATTTCTGACTGGGGAGAACGAAAAGTTAGACGTTTGCAGAAAGGAGAGACAGAAGATACACCTGTAGCAGGTAACAACGGACACGGAAATCAGTTAAATCAATTCTATGAACCTAACTATATCTTTGTCGATAAAAATCATTCAATTTACGTAGCGGATTATTTGAATAATCGTGTGATGAAATGGATGAAAAATGCACTTGAAGAGACTCTTGTTGCTCCAGGAGAAACATCTAGCGAAAATCCCAATTCACTAGTTCAACCCATAGGTGTGATTGTTGATCATGTGGGTGATATTTATATGTCGAGTGAAAAAAATTATGAAATAACACGTTGGTCGCCAGGTGCAAGAGAAGGTGTTCCTGTCGTTGGTGAAAAACAATCTGGAAACGGACCCACACAACTCCGCGACCCATATGATTTATCATTTGATCGACAGGGTAATCTTTATGTTGCCGATACAGGCAACCATCGAATACAAAAATTTCTTATTGATCGTGACTAAAACAAGTTTTTGATGATAAAATAACTTTTGATGAATATTTATTTTTTGTCGCTTTTCAATTTTTTTTCATTATCTTTCACCAGTTATGCATTGTTCTCTTCTTGATCCTATCACATAATGAGTTATTTTTCGCAATCATATAACAAATCCCTCAAGTTATTTCTGCGTTCTTTTACATCTTATAGATATTATATGTAAGATAATACAATCGATCGTTATTGATATTTCATCATGGACGAAATTATTCCTTCTATAGCACGTGAAACTAATCGATATGCGGAGTAATACTTACAAAACCCATGCGATTAACAGACAGTAAAAATTTCGTTAATTGAAACTAACCACTGATGAAGAAATACTCAAGTTCTTTAGAATCATTATAAAGATAATATTCGTACAAATGACGAAACTGAACTATTAATGCAGCAGTAGTCACTTATAGGGTGTGGATTCATCTTTTCTTTACACAAACGCACATTCAAGATTATATTGTAAATTTTTCACAGAGATAATTTATTAAACTAAATAACAAAAACAAAAGAAATTAATTATGTATATCTTTATGTTCAATTCCATATTTTTCTCTTAATTCATGTAATAATGTATGATTATATAAACAACTAATAGTTTTATTATTCTTCTTATCAATCATACCTCGAATATTCCATTGATGATATTCATGTATAAATTCTTCTATCCAAAAATGTAAACATGCAAAGTTTGTTTCTGGTGTTCTTGTTGTTACTAAAGAACAAAATTGTTTATCTTTTTTACACATTTCAACAAATAATTGTCCATCAATTCCTAAATTTTCTAGAGGATTAACTGGTAATGAAAATCCTTGTAGAATAAGTTCACCTGCTTGTCGTATTAATTTAACTAATTGATTTTTTTCAATACCTTTCACTCGTTCATTAATTGGATAATAAAGACCTCTAATATAAGGCGTTCCACTTGTCATATATTGTTCACCATAAGTTGTAACTGTTTCAGTATTTTCTGATATTGAACTTCCAAGATTAATATGAATAGATCCATCTGATAGAAATGTTTGATACATTTGTCCAGTACCTGGCGCACTTATATGAATATCCATTTGACGTAAAACACGTAATTGAGCACTGAATTTATTTTCAATAAATAATCTATTACTAATATTTTTAGGTTTAATCGCATGATAATAAAGATAAGATATATTAATTAATGGCCATTCTAATTTAATTTTTTTATTTAAATAAAATTCCGTATAATTATTTATTTCATGAATAGCACTCATAATTTGATGAAAATCACCATCTGTAAAACGTTTATTATGAATAATATATGCTTGAAGAATATCATAAGATGTTCGATATTGAGAAGAAGATTTTTGTCGAGTTATTGGATAAATAAGATTATGTTGTTGATACATTCTATTACGAAAAAGTCTTGAAGCATCTAATTCAACACCACCATATAATTGTAAATTTGGTTGTAGACAACGTTGACATAATGTTCCACTACCCATAATCATTTCATCGAACATAAACCATTTTGTTTTTGATAATTCTTTTAGATCTGGTTCTTTAATAATTCCAAGACCAGCAAAACGATGATATATATCTTCAGTCCAACATTTATTACAATCGGATAATTCTGTAAGAATTCGAAATGGTTGAAGATGTCGTGGAGAAAATCGAATAAGTGCAACATAAGCTGGATATAATCCATCGAAAAGTGCATGACCAATATTATCATGCCACAGTTGAATAAAATAAACTGTTACTGATGGAAATATAATTGGTTCGATAATAGTTCGAACAAAGTTTTCTAAATCAATATATGAATTAAATTCACGTTTTTTTATTTCAACTGGTGATAAATAAAATGAATTTATACGTAATGAATATAATGGAAATTGTGTTCCATTTATTGTAAGAATTATAAATTCACTATTGAAATAATATAAATTTTCAAATAAACATGACTGTTGATTAAATGAACCTATACAGTGGATTTTTGTTTCCAATGATTTCTTTTGATCAATCGATGTGGAATTTGTTTTAGATGAAATTAATTTTATTGGCATATTATTATTTTGTACGATGATAATGATTATCAGAGAAATAATTAACATAATTTTAAATATCGATGGTATTGTTCTTTTTCGAATCAACATGATCTAAAATACATAAGAGAACACAGTTATAGAATCATTCTTGTGCGATTGTTACTAACGTCTTAATCGAGAAATGTTTAAAGAACAGTGATTTATTCAAATTCATTCTTTTTCTTTTCTTTTCGTTCTGAATAAAAAATGAAAAATTAACCATGCTTTACATGGTAAGACTTTTACATTTTATTCTGTAAATAATAATAAATAATTCAAGGATAAATATATTTCAACTATGATGTTCGCATTAGAAGGTGAGATAAATGGATACAAGGTATTTATACTGAATCATCGAAGAAGAAGAACTGCTTACTATCTGTTTCTTTGATAATGTGTAAGATTGATATTCTATGTAAGAGTTTGTCAACGCCGCCTCCTTTAGGCTAAAATGTGAAACTCACATAGTCACTACGATTACTAAAAGAACGCAATCACTGGAGGAAAAAGCTGACTTTGTTACGATTTTGAAATTTTTGCATAAAAAAAATTAAAGAAACGAGCCACTTTCTTAAAATGATTTTATCTTATTTAGATTGTTGAAAATTCTTGATCGTTATCTATTATTATTTTCGAATTCGTTTATTTTAATCTAAATCACATATGAAAGTTTGTATTGGAGAAGAATAATAAATGAAGAATAATCTGATGTTATTATTAAAAAAAGACATGTTAACTCCAATATCAATAATGAGAAAAATAGTGATTTGAATAAACAAAAATTTAACAAGAAAATAGAAGACTGAAAGATAAATCAAAGAAATGAAAACCGTTTAGATATATAAATTTTTTGCATATATTGAGAAAAAGTCTTTCAAGCCATGTCTTTTTTCAGTGTGATCTAAAGGTTTTGTATCGAGTATATACTGAAGTGGTCTTCGCAAGTGAAAAAGCATCAATTGCAATTCAATTGAGTTGAACACATTAGTTAAGTTCAGTAATGCACTTTTATACAGTTGTTCTGCTTCGTACATCTTTCGAAGATGATTTCAAAGAGATAATATGCCAGTACACAAGCTATAGATATGTTACAGGAAAAAACGTGTTTTATGTCAATGTTCAAGTTTGTAGGCTGTTATGAGTGAGTAGCAGCGAGAAGATGTTTGTGTACTTGAAAGTGGTTCAAATTCCTTGACCATTTTATAGTTAATAAACGTTTATCTATTTCGATTAGGCTTAGAAATTGTTTTAAAATTGATTAAGAACGACTTAAAATTAGTTGTTTCTCATTATCAGTAGTAGCTTCTTCTAACTATTTAGTCGACTTAAAAGTATTCTCAAAGGATGTGGGTGTGGGTGAGGGTGGGTGACGATATGGGTCCCGAAAATGAAGAAGAGAAACCCACACCCACACCCACACCCTCAAGATGGATGGAGGTGTGAGTGTGGGTGAGTGACGATATGGGTCCCGAAGAAGAAGAAGAGACACCCACACCCACATCCTCGAGATGAACGAAGTTGGGTGAGGGAATAGAAATCTTCCTCGTTACGGTCTCTGATAATCACACATTAATCTCAATTACTTAATTCTTGATTAGCATGTTTTAAAATGAAATAAGCGCGAATGAACATCTATAAATCGTTAGAATTTGGATGTTGGTCTGATTCTCTCTTAGTCGTTGCTGGATTTTATATGAAAAGAAAATTCAAATAAAAACTATCGTTTCATATTACTGTGTCAAGTCATGTCTATGATGCCTGATAATACCTTCAAGTAATACAACACTCTTTCCTTTGGAAAAGCACGTTTAGTAAAATTAACATTAATGAACGTGACGTGTGTCTTATCGCAATGAAATCATTTCTTTTTCTTGTTATCATGATCTTGGCATAAATGACAAGCAATGTTCACAACAATCTAGCTATCTGATTCAAAAAAATCAATATGAAATTGTTAATTATTGTTTTACTGGCATCAATAATCAATGCAACTCAATCAATTGTACTTCTGTACGATACAGAAATAAGTTCTGGCAAAGAAGAAACACATTGTATTTATTATGTTAAAGATTTTACTATAAAATACTGTGTTCGAGTGACAAAAAATAAACAAGTTCCTCCTTACATCATTTTTTGTTCAAATGGTGAACAATGGAAATTCTCAAAACTTCTTCATGAAAATATTTCACCTTGGGAAGTTTTATCATGGAGTTCAAGTATTGAAGCAGCAGAAATTTATGCTCGTATTTATTATAATCGATCGATTAAATTTGATGAAAATGATTTTCTATGTAAATGTACAGAACAATCATCATTTGGTATAGATTGTGAATATCAGCTATTGTTCAATTCACCAATGTTTAGTGATGCTATACAAATCACTTTCGAGGCAAAAGAAAATACCGATGGTCATCAAATGTTCGGTAGTATTTTATGTTATGAAACATTAATTTGTGATTTTGGTAGGTTATGTCTTGATTGGAGGAATATTTGTGATCGAATGCAAAATTGTATGAATGGAATTGATGAAGAAAATTGTCATTTATTAGAATTTAATGAATGTGAAATTAATGAATATCGTTGTATTAATGGAATGTGTATTCCACATGAATACTGGCTTGATGGTAAATATTATTTTATTAATTTATTTTATTTTTAAAAAATAAACTTTTAATTAGGTCAATATGATTGTATGGATTGGAGTGACGAATTACCACCCTCTTCATCATCATTAGGGGATTGTGCTCTTAAACCATTCATAATCGATTGTGATGATCATCTATGTCCAGATGGATATTGGTCATGTGGAGATGGGCAATGTATTCGAATGTTAACTCGTCATATCTATCAACCATTTTTTTCAGGAGATTTAGGTTGTTACAGTATGCGAGAGTATAATAGAATGTGTGAAGCAGCGGCTCATACATCGTTGTGGACAGTACAACATGGTGTTTGCGCCAAATCTGGTTATGACGATACGTTGTTAATCACTTCTCCTCAATTTGACTATTGTCTTTATCTAGTACGTTGTGCTCTATCTAAAGGCGCTGAAATTCATTGTCCATGTAATGGTGTAAATTGTAGTATTCTAATTATTAATAACTGTTCAAACGATGAAGTTTTATTTCCGTTCGGCGGTATTATTCGTCCATGGCTCGTAGATGGGTATCTTCGTGATAGAAGTTGGGAAAATACTTTACCAGACCGTATTTACATTATAGGAAGTTATCGATGTCGAGGATTTATGGGTAATATAACAACATTTGATCATTATTACTCTCCTGCAGATAATCACATTGGTGCCGCTATTCTCGAACGCTTTATATGTAGGGAAACTTCATTGATCAATCGAGATTCTCAGTCATTATTTCAGTACTCAAATACATGTTGGAATGATTCGTTGACGTTCAATGGTCAGCCATATGCTTTTACTGATTTTTGTCAATCCAAATATGATTGTTATTCACAATATCGAATTCGGGATGGTATTAGTGATTGTCTAGGTCATGAAGATGAAGGAAATCATTCAATACCACAAATAAATTATTGTCATCACATTCAAAAACATCGTTTTCAATGTTCTTCTCAACAATTGACTTGTTTTCCAGCAAGACGTCTCGCTGAACAGAGCACTGAAAATTCAGGTTGTATAAATAAATATGACAAATTTGTCGAAGGCAGTGGTCGTGCATTAAATACAATGATGTGTAAGAAAGATAATGATTATAATGAATGTCAATCACTTCGATATTATATTGGTAATTCATCTATTATTAATGGAACATTTAAAGATGATCAAGATGAGGATATAGATCGTAGTTCAACTGTGAAACCTTTTCGATACTATTGTGATAGTTTTTGGGATGAAGCAATAACACATAGAGATGAAGATTTTTCAGAATGTCAAATGTGGATTTGTAATGAAGAACAATTTCAATGTCGAACAGGTCAATGTATAGAATTAGAATGGGTATGTGATGGTGAATGGGATTGTTCAGATGCATCCGATGAATTTCATCTTAACAGTAATTGGTCTGATCACAATAAAAATCTTGTCGGTTTAAATGAACGCAAGACAAAGTGTCCAACATATAATGCATTTTTACCTTTTTTTAATATTTGCAACTTTGATTATGAATATCCTTGTTATCGATCAAACGTTTCTAATCCGTTAGATATAGATGAATATCGACCATGTATTAATCATACTCAAATTGGTGATCGGATTGAAGATTGTTATGGAGGAATAGATGAAAAGAATATGTTTGAAGATTGTCAATCAAATATGCTTGGATATACTCTTCGATGTAATAATACATGTCAAGATTATAATAATGCATGTTTACGTGGAAATTGTATGACGTCACCTTTGTGTTTCTATAAAAATAAGAATGTATCTTCGTGCTCGAATCCAAAAGATGTTATTTGTCTCAATGGAACATGTATTCCAAATGGTCGATGTGATAAAATTCATCAATGTTTACATGGAGAAGATGAACATTGGTATACATTGCACACCTCATTATCAGATTTCGATTATCGACATGATAAAAGATCGTTTCAATTTCGACATATTCCCAAGATACATTTATTGAATTTTCCAAAAGAAAACTACTCAGGTTTTCAAATAAATACACATCAACAAGAAGATTTCAGAGATATACCTTCACAATTACCAGAAAAAAAACTTAATGGTTTACTCTATATATGTAATCAAGGTTTTATTGCTTTTATTTCAGCTACATATGGTTTTTTATGTTTGTGTCCACCTACCTATTATGGCTCATTCTGTCAATTCTTTGCAGATCGTATATCTGTTATTACTCATCTTGATTTAACAACATTATTAACTGAATATTTGACAAATTCATTTGTCATAGTTGCGACATTACATTTCAACAACAATATCGAAGATCATCATTTATTTCATATTAATCCATCAATATTGACTCATAAATCTATAAAACAACGTTTTTATCTTCTCTACTCTCGAACAAATAATTCTTTGCAATATAAAAGAGAACGATATTTTAATGGTATTGATGTTCGCAATCATCATCCATATTCTGTACATTTCGATATATTTTCTTTATCGAATGATCAAATCGACGAACTTGGTTCTTTTATCTACCCAATTTATTTTGATTTTCTTCCTGTTTTTCGTCTAGCAACTATTTTAAGATTTCCACCATGGTTTCGTAATTCTACTCTTGATCCATGTTATCCAGATCCATGTAATGAAAATTCGTCGTGTATACCCATCCTAAATCAAAATAATTCTTTCCGATGTTCATGCAAATCTGGTTACAATGGAAATAATTGTCAGAATTATCATCCGCAATGTGAATCATATTGTGCTCCTACAGCTCTCTGTCGGCCTGGCTATCGTGGTGAGATTAATGGTCCAACATTGCCTCTATGTATTTGTCCATTGGGTTCTTTTGGACCTCGTTGTTATATACGAAATGAAGCATGTAAATCAAATCCATGTGGAATGAATTCGACGTGTCATGCCATGTATGATCCTAGTGGTGAAAAACCATTCTTTTGTGTATGTCCTCAACAGTATTATGGTGATCAATGTCAATATGAAAAAGTTCCTGTCTTAATTCACATGAATCTAACAAATTTAATAGATATAGCAGTAAGTGTCATTCAGTTTTACAACATAACAACGTCTGCAATATCACTAAAATTACTTGATCAACAAGTCACAAATGGCATACCTAAGATTATTCGATATAATCATTCAAGAGAAACATCTCCACCGATTGCTCTTCTCAAGACTTATGATAAATTAACTAATTGGAAATATTTTATTCTTTATAGTCAATCTAAATCAACTAGAATTATCAATATAACTTCAACACCAGAAGAATGTCCAAATGTACTGATTTTATTTTCTCAAATGAATATAAAATCACCGAGTACAACGAATATCTTTAAATATCATCAGATTTGTCGAAATAATACCAATCGAATATGTTTTCATGATCGAAATTATTTTTGTTTCTGTCGACAAAATCATTACGGTGTTAATTGTTTTCAATATGATCTTCTTATTGATAAATGTAATCAATGTTTTTTGAATGGAAAATGTATAAAAGGTGATTTAGAAGATTCGAATGATTTTATTTGTCTTTGTCGATCATGTCATCAAGGTCGTCTTTGTGAATTTAGTTTAGAAGCTTTTGGTTTTACTTTAGATTCATTATTAATTTCAAGTTTAACAATTATTCAATCTATTTATATTGGTCTTGCTTTTATTATTTTTATTATTGGATTCTTAACTAATTTATGTGCATTTGTAACTTTTAAACGAAAACAATCTCGAAAATTTGGTGTTGGAAATTATCTTTTAGTTACGACTATTCTTAATCAATTAAGTTTAGTTTGTTTATTATTTAAATTTCTTCATGTTCTTCTTGGAGCAAAAGGAAAAACAAATGATATATCTTGTAAAATAATTAGTTATCTTCTTTCAATTTTGACTCGTTCAACATATTGGTTAACAAGTTGGGTAACAATTGATCGTTTATTTATTGTTCTATATCCAACATCATCTATGTTGAAGAAACCTATGATTTCAATTTATATAATAATTATAACTCTATTTATTCTTTGTCTTATGCATTTTCATGAACTTTTATTTTATAAAACAATTCATGAACAACCAAATTCATCAGTTTTATTATGTATTCCTCGATTTGATGAAACTTCTATTGCTATTTATAATCGAATCAATACATTAATACATTATCTTCTACCTTTTTCTGTTCAAATTATTTCAATTACTTTATTAATCATTCATGCTGCTCGTAGTCGATCAAAAACTTCAAATAATAAAATAACACTACGACAATTAATAAAAAAACAATTCTTTGTTCAAAAAGAACTTTATATAACTCCAATAATTATTATTGTTGCTGCTTTACCACAAGCTATTCTTTCATTTAGTTTAGCTTGTATTGAATTGAATGATTTCAAACGACATTTACTTTTATCAACATTTCTTCTTTCTTATTCTCCACAAATTCTTGGATTTATTCTTTATGTTGTTCCATCAAGTGTATTTATGAATGAATTTAAACAAACGAAACTAGCAAAGAAATATTTGCATTGGATAATTAAAAGTTCATCAAAATAAGAATAAAAACATGGACGTATTTCATGATTCTCCCTCTTCCCTCTTTTTTTCCGCTTTTTGGCCTATCTTGAGGGTGTGGGTGATGACTTCTTTCTCTTCTTTCACCCACACCCATCTATATGTGTTTGTTGCTATGAAATATTTAACTAATAAACAGAAATTATGTCTCGCTTTTCTTGTTTGTTTATTTCCTCGACTGTAGAAAGGCTCATATGAAATAAAATTGAGTCAAGATTTGTTTTCGTAGGGTGGGTGTAGATGAGAGAAAGGATTAAGGGGTTATTCACACTTAAATCCACAGCCTCAAGCCGGACTTTAAATATTACCATCTTGAGGGTGTGGGTGCGGTGTGTATGTCGATGAAGAACTATGTCACCCACACCCCAGATGTACCATTTGATGGAAATTTTCAAAAGATATGTTCAATGGTTTATATTATGACAAATGTCATAATCGAAGCAAATCATTTTTCCAAAAAAGAAAACCTAGTTCTTCAGATCATATTATAGTGTTTATTGATAAGTAAGTTTGCTTGTACTTCATTGTGTTTGAAAAATAGTAAAAATTTGATTTTGTTATAAAACACATCAATAATAAACCTTTCACTCGTTATTTTTTTATTTTTTTCTATAACAGACGATAATATATTCCAAGCTTTTTTCCTCTTGCTTTCTGTACATTTTTGTTATTTCGTTACACATCATTGATTTTCATGTGCATCTCTTATATTAAAATACTAGCATTCACATACCTGTTTTTTTATTTTCTACATCAAAATGGACAAGCTTCCACAACGACAACAACAACAAGCTGGTAAGTAATGAGCTGAAGAAATTTAGAATTAACTGTTGCTGTATATTTAGATTGTCCTACAAATGGAGCAACTATAGTTGGTAGGTGTTTAATTATCTAATTGTTCATTGTTTGATTATTTTTCTTTTGAAGTATTTCAACCTTCTAAGAATTCAGGTGGTCGACAACCACAATTCGTTTTTGCTGGTGGTGTGATTGCCCCTTCAAATGGAATTTATCGTTTAACACCAGCTCAACCTGGAGGACTATCAAGTTTAGGACCGAGATGGACCGGACATCTTTAGAAGATAATAACTTCAAACTAATCATAAACTTATCGCCAAATCTCATTTTCTTTTAAAATAAATTTATCGGCGGAAAATGCTGTTTTTTTCACTGATCATTGAGAAATTCTCAGAGCTCAAATCCATCTGTAACAAAGTGATTACTATCAGACTTCTTTTCTCTTGATGGTTCGAGGATGGATAGTATATTTATCTGATACACACACCCTCAAAGACTAATGTCTTTTTTATATTCAAAAACATTTATGCAAAAAAATAAAAGTCAAACAACTTTTATGTTTTGTACTTTCATATTATTCATCTTAATAATACAAGGAAAAAATATTTTTCTTTTAAAATCGTATTAATTATATACAATTATTACGATTTTTATTTTCATTCAAATAAATCTTTTTAAAGCAATATCATGCAATCATCTTCAATAAATTCAACAGTTATATGAAGGATTTTACAATCAACTATTATTATTATGTAAATAATAGTTTTAGAAAATGTATGAAAACTATCAAAAGTTCATATTCAAATTGGTTACTAAACTGTTCAAGTCTTATCTAGATGTTTACATATTTACATAAAACACTAAGAGATAGAAATCAACTAAAAAGCATTTTTAGTGCGAAATCACGTCCATAAATAAGAAAAAACTTTTATCTATCGATACGAATCCAGAAATCATTCTATAGAAGTATCCACGAATGATACTGATTATTAACTGTTTCTCACGGTATATGTGAAGACCTAGATATAATTATGAATGAAAATAAAACTTGATCGTATAATTCTTCATTTTTATTTATTATCGTTCATCCTCGCAAACCTTCATCGGTTCATTAACAAATGTTAAAATCTTTTTAGATAAACAGTGAAAAGATTATAGTTGTATGTTCTATAGACACGAAGTAATCTTATTCGAGAAGAAGGAATTATAAATGTCGTTGCCAGAGTTATAGCTATTTTCTTTAGATCACTTTACTCAATGTGTTCAAACTACATTCATTCTCTATGACATACAATTGTGTTTTAAACATCTTTCCAGCGTCATTTTTAATGGAAATCGAACAAAAACGCTCTTTTATAAACATTCAAATAGTTTTTATAAATTAATCAGCAATGAATGATGATAAAATGTGAACATTTGAGATTTTCTTATAGCATGAAGTTTATCTACAATTCATAGTGTATAATATTGTACTTCTCCTTGATGGTATATTATAATAAACAGAAGCACATTATAATATTAACTCTGTCATGATTTTTCTTCGAAGATTTTTCAATGCATTGTATAAATATATCAATTATAATCTGTTCTGTCAATATAATCATTTCAATTAATTAAAAAATCATAATCTATTCTTTATCTAACTGATATTGACAATAGACTATGATTTAAAAAAACTAATGATGCATTTAGTCCTAAGTATATCACGTATCAATCAATACATATTTCATTGTATAATCACGTTCTCAATATTTTTCTATCAGTTTTATTAGATAACATGTACCTGAAGTATAAAAACTTGAACTCCTGATTTTTTCAATTCTTCATGATATTAGAACTCAATTTGACATTCAACACAATGCAATATCATACAATCGCAGTTTGTCTCTATGCCATTCATAATACTTATTTATTGGATGAAATCTACCCTACTTGCCAATCGATTCATTTTTATTTTCGTTTCAACAATTCTTAACATGATCATTTCATGTACAGCAAACGAATCGTCTACCTTTGTTTCAACAGCATCATACGAGTTAGTTTAGTACTTCCAAAAAAAAACGAAGGAAACATTTCTCGTTCAATATCATTAGAGCGTACCACTTTAATTCGACAATACTAGAAAAAACGTCTCAGAGTTTTACTATTATCACAAGAAATCTTTCATCGTTCGTTATAACCCTAAACGATCTTTCATAATTCCATTGCCATAATACAAAACTTTTCTATCTCAGTCCTTTTGAACAGAAATTTTAAGAGTTTTAATATTGTTATAGAAAACCTCAGCCTAGTTTTGCATGCGCTACAAACTTGCCCAATTATTCCGCAAAAGGTCTATTTTTTGATACAGATTAAATTTGAAATCAAGCAGTTTTATTTAATATTTCTGATAAATTTATAACACAACAAAATATTTCCATGATCCTTAACAGCGATTTATTGTTCGTCTGAAGAAAATTAATATTACCATTCATGGTTTTCTTCATCTTTGATTCCGTTCAAATAATTCATCGATTAAATGCATTGCATCCTTTTCGATACTATTACCCACGAAATGTAGTGTCATGAGTGTCTACATGAAAAAATGGAATCAGACACATGACATAGACAAAGAGAGAATGAGAATTACTGTATTGTGTTGTAATGCATCAGCTAAAGATTGTGCTCCAATATATTTGATTTTATTAAATCTAAGACCTAGCGTGGTGAGCGTCTAGATGAAGTAGTAGAACCAAAAAATGTTATGAATAAGGTGAGAATGAGAGTTACCGTGTTGTGCTGTAATGCATCTGCTAAATATTGTGCTCCGGCATCTCCAATTTGATTTTCAGCGAGATTTAACGTGATGAGTGTCTTAATGAAGAAGTGGAAGTAAGGACATGATATAGATAAATAGAGAGTGATAGTTACTGTGTTATGTTGTAGCGTATTGCTCAATGATTGTGCTCCAACATCTCCAATTTTATTCCATTCGAGATCTAATGTGGTGAGCGTCTGGATGAAGAAGTAGAAGTAACGACATGGTATAGATAAAGAGAGAATGAGAATTACCGTGTTGTGTTGTAATGCATGAGCTAGATATTGTGCTCCAACATCTCCAATTTGGTTGCTCCAGAGTTCTAGTGTGGTGAGCGTCTAGATGAGAAAGTGGTGGTAAAGACATGATTTAGAAAAAGAGAGAATCAGGGTTACTGTGTTGTATTGTAATGCATCAGCTAAATATTGTGCTCCAACATCTCCGATTTGATTGGGCGCGAGATTCAGTGTGGTAAGTGTCTGAATGAAGAAGTGGAAGTAAAAACATGGTATAGATAAATAGAGAATCAGAGTTACCGTGTTGTATTTTAATGCATTACTGAAGTAGTGTGTTCCAACATGTCCGATTTCATTGGTCCAGAGCACTAGTGTGGTGAGCGTCTAGATTGAATAGTGGAGATAAAGATATGGTATAGATAAAAAGAGAAGGAGGGTTACCGTGTTTTGTTGTAATGCAATGGTCAAGGATTGTGCTCCAACATATCCGATTTGATTGTTCGAGAGCTCTAGTGTGTTGAGTGCCTAGATAAAGTAGTAGAAACAAAGACATGGTATGAATAAGAAGAGCATTAAATTTACTGTATTGTGTTGTAATGCACCAGCTAAATATTGTGCTCCAACATCTTCGATTTTATTCCATTCGAGATCTAATGTGGTGAGCGTCTAGATTGAATAGTGGAGATAAAGATATGATATCGATAAAAAGAGAATGAGGGTTACCGTGTTGTATTTTAATGCATTACTGAAGTAGTGTGCTCCAACATGTCCGATTTGATTGATCGAGAGATCTAGTGTGATGAGCGTCTACATGGAAAAGTGGAGGTAAAGGTATGGTATAGATAAATAGAGAATCAGAGTTACCGTGTTGTGTAGTAATGCATTACTCAAGGATTGTGCTCCAATATGTCCGATTTGATTGCTCGAGAGATTTAGTGTGGTGAGTGTCTAGATGAAGAAGTGGAAGTAAACACATGGTTTAGATAAAGAGAGAATGAGAATTACCGTGTTGTGTTGTAATGCATCAGCTAAATATTGTGCTCCAACATCTCTGATTTGATTAATCCAGAGCTCTAGTGTGGTGAGTGTCTAGATAAAGTAGTAGAAGCAAAGACATGGTATAAATAAGAAGAGTATCAAATTTACTGTGTTGTGTTGTAATGCATCACCTAAATATTGTGCTCCAACATTTCCGATTCGATTGGTTCGAAGATTTAATGTGATGAGTGTCTAGAGGAAGTAGTAAAGCCAAAAACATGGTTTGGATAAGGAGAAAATGAGACTTACTGTATTGTGTTGTAATGCAACGGCCAAAGATTGCGCTCCAACATCTCCGATTTGATTTCTGGAGAGATCTAGAGCGGTAAGTGTCTAGATGTGAAAGTGAAGGTAAAAAGACGATACAGATGGAGAGGAATAGGACAGGTGATCAGTGTTAAATGATGTTAGAAAAATTAGACAAATGTTGTTCTGACTCTGTTTTTGAGATCTTATGGATATTAATATGAATATTTTAAGGATTTTATATACTGCGTAGTGTTGTAATGATGTGTTGTGAAAAATCTGTGATGATAGAAACGTTTTATATATAAGTTGCTGGAATCTCTTAGTATTTCTGCAAGAGAGAAATTTTTTTAGTTATTGAAGAATAGTTTGTAAGGCGCTTCCGCCCAAATCAATTGTGAAGTATAATACTATGTACCCATATGACAATGTATTTAAGTAAATGGTTGTTCAGACTCAATAAGTGTTTTGTATCGAACTGTACCTTATTGATCTATACGAGTTGTTTATTTGAGAATGTATATTGATTTCGAGAGTTTCTCTCAATGCTAGCATACGATAGTATTCATGAATCGACATCGCTTTATGAAAAGTAAAAAATTAAACAATTTATTCTATAGTGTTAGGCTCATTATCAATAGACGCGAATGCAGTCCCTAAGAGAGTGTGTCTTAGATGAAGTCCGTTTCGGAAAATTTGTTTTAGAACAAAATTTGCTTTAGAAGTAGTATTCTTTGAAAAAATATTCCTGTCTCTTATCCACATCCACTGCCATCTGTATCGATAGTCATGCATGTCCTTAATGGAGTATTTGTCGGAGAGATTTCTCAAGGTATTAGTGAAATGGTATTAAAAAGCAAACAATAATGTGTTGTTTCTTTTTTTCCGTTCTTATGTAAACATCGTATGTTTATGGCATCATACCTGATTTGAAACGTGGAATATTTAGATGAAATCAAAAAGAAAGGAAAAAAAGAATTCTTTTTTTCTGATTATCAGGACACTATATTCATATTATCATAATATAAGAAATGAATTATTTTCTAGGAGTCAATAGAGAAAAATTAAACCATCATGATAAAAAACAATTTACCTGGTATCGATCGTAGCTGTCTAAGATCCTATTGAATCGTTCACATACGTTTGTCATTGAGCATATAAGTGTGAAATCTGATTCATAATCCAAAATTCGGTAGACAAGTTCTACCGGTAATGTAAGGAAATTGATGATAGTTTGATTTGCCATTGTAGACTGTTGAATTATATATTGGTTATATGATGTGTTTTTACTTTTTCTTCTGATTAAATGAGTAGATGGTTTTTTTGTCGTTTGTTGCACATGATGTTGCAATTACTTGTTGAGAAAAAAACGAAAAATAATGATGTCAGGTACAGAATGACAGAATTGCCATAACAATTATACACAAAATTTTTGTTACGGTTGTTTCATCAATATAAACTAACACATAATAAACATGAATATTGTATTCTCGGTACTAATTAACAAAGTGTGAATGAATTTATTTGTATTCAAACGGTATTGTCATTTGATCGTAAAATCAAATATACATATTTCATAAGATGGTGCATAATTTGTTCTCTTGAAAAGAGTTATACGTCTGAATCGATGAAAAAAATTAGATCATCACTTTCTTGGTTCACGAATTTTACTATAATTTGGTGTATTGTTGGACACATTTGTCTAGATTTTCATTCTATAGTGAGTGATTTCGTTAAAATCTTTCATTATAATTATAAATATAGATTTGATTAATCAGACAGAAATAAAAATAAGCAAATCGTTCAGGAGAAATCCTTCAAGAAAAATCAACTTTTTAAGTAATTGTTTTCAGAATATGCAGTCGTTTGTGTCAGTATAGAGCTGGAGTGAGAGTAACTTACGTTAGTCGAAGGGTGGGTATGGCTACTGTATTCACCTAGCACTCACACCCACACCCACACTCTTTATATTGTGCATGACTCTAAGATATTTTTCTAACGAAAACCACCTTGAGGGTGAGAGTGCGAGTAATGATGTCTAAGGAGTGCCAACGCTCTCGAGAATTTTGAGACTTGTCAAAATAATTCCAATCTCAAGATCTGATCATATCCTTTCAGTAGAAAATCAGTGTAATATTGCTTCTGAGTTTGACAACATAATAAATTTTCGTTCTATCATAAAGTAAATGACAACAACATTCTAACATACAGCTATATCTGTTATAAAATCAACCCATCGTTTTTTGCAAATAAGTTTGTATAATAGTGTATTGATCGCTTAGCAAGTAATAAAATTTACTGCTTTGTCTATAATCTTATCGAAATCTATTCTCTTCATAAGAGTTTTATACCATTATACTCAATCCTTTGTGTTTTTTTAAATGGTAGGTATAAAAATCAGATGAAGAAAGAGAATTGTTCGAAGTTTACGATTTTATTTTATTAAAATATTGATCGTCTTCAACATGGATGCGACAAATATGTAATCGCCAACATGATTTGATCTTTTACCATCTGAAATTATTTTTCTGTATCAGTGAACGCCTTAACCATTTGTTATTAGAAAATAAACGTTATTTAACTTATTTAAAATTACCAACAACAAATCTAAAGACATGGGAAGATATTCTATCGATTATTAGTCCACAAATTGAATTTCTAAATATAAATTCAATCGATATAACATTTCCAATAACGCGTTTTTCAAATTTAAAATCTTTAATTATTTCTTCTCCATATGGTTTTCCAGACGAAGCATTAAAATTAATTTTTGCAAGTGAACAATTTCAAAATTTACTTTCCTTTCAAATACAAGAAAAAGATTAGATCATAAAGAAAGAACAGATATGTGTGAAATGGATTATTGGTTTGAACAAGTTGATTATAATCAATTAACAAATTTTATAAAAGAATTTTCATCATCATTTAGATGTTTATCACTTGATTGGAGTGATATAAGATATCAAAAGACATACAACTTTCCATTGAATCCCATAAAACTTAAAGAAGTTTTAGAAGTAATAATAAATCTTCAGAAATTTCATCTTTTTATTTATATATCTGGTAATACAGATGATAACGATGTAATTTTATCGAAATTTAGTGATCCATTTTGGTCGGATCATAATTTATCATTTGGAATGGATGGAGATTTTTTCTTTAGATTACCATTTCAATTTGATAATTTTCCAAATATTTACAGAGCTTATAATGATATTAAATCAGACACTCCTGAACTTTTAATATCTATGTCTCGACTATGGTATTCGGTTAAAATGACTTGTCTATCATATGAATCGAAAGGTGATTTCGATTTTCTAAAAGAACTTCAAAGAAAACTGCCGAAATAAATGAAATCCATTTGCATGGTGACCGTATTGTTTCAGACAAACAGGAGTATTCTTATGAAAAACACGATATTTGTTTGAATACTGTCACAACGGTTCAGTTGCATAAGCTAACTTCTGCAATGATTGAGAATTGGTTAAGATGTTTATTACCAAACGTTAAACATTTAATTTTAGATGCCAACGAACAATTACCTTTGATAAAAACAGAATTAATTTCAATATTGAACAATAAGATTCAACAATTGGATGTGAGAATCAGATTTATTGAGAAAAGTTATATTTATTTTTCAAATATTCAATATATATATTTTCGTTCAACTGAATTTCTTGGTATAACGGAAGAAGGAGCAAATATTATTATGGAAATATTGAACAATTTTAAAAACTTAAAGGTTTTGCTCATATATAATCTGAGAAAGACTGAATATATTCATCAAAGTTGGAATCAATTTACTAAATATTTTGACATGGATAATATTAGATCTACGTATCGCGTAAAAATATTTAAAAGATACGTTTCATTTTCAAAATATTAATGAAAGTATGATTTTTATTCAATATATAATTTTTTGCGCCAAAAAAAAAACGTTCAATAGCTAAAATTTATAAGTATTTTTTTAAGTATCTCTTCTGAATTTCGATAGGGTGTGGGTATAAGTTGGTGCTCTTCTTTTATCACATAATCACATCCTCAAACTTTTGGTGTATGCTAGAGTACAGTGGGGCAAGGTTGCAATATAATGGAAGGTGACCAGCCCTAGGAATAATACATTTACGTTTATTTAGAATTAACGCAATCCGAAATCAGCAATACTCTATTCCTCGTCGCAGGTCATGTCCTATCCCCTCAAATACCAAAAAAACCTGCAAAAGATAACGGTCGAATCTATAGTCTTATTAAACTCTATCATAAACACCCACACCCTCAAGATTCAATCGAGTTGAAAAGAATTTTTTTGTGATCGGTGAATTGAACTTAATTCAGAAAAATATTCTATCTATCCAACGAGACAGAGAAATTCACAATATGTCTAATATTCATACTATTATATCAGTGTATTATTTATCACAAATTTCCCTCTTGATATTAAATGATATAAATGAGGACTTTGTAGGATGTAATTAATTGATTTTATTATAGTTTATGAACTTCTTTTGTACAATAGATAAACGCTCAGAATATCATTGATCGAATATGAATATGATTATGATTGGAGCATTTTTATAACAATGATCTATATATAAACAATACATCGATATCTTCCAGACAATAGATGGTGAAATGAATATCTCTACATTCGAATCGTTACCAACTGAATTGTATTTGTACATATTCAATTATTTATCATCTTTTGATTTATTCAATGCCTTTTTTCATATAAATAATAATCGCTTTCAACAAATCATTCATTCTCAATCACTTACACTCGATACAAAATCAATATCATATAAAAAAATGCGTCAAATCTTTACTACGTCAAATTATCTTCTCCTTTTACATACGATTATTCTCGACAATTCAGATTCTTGTTTTGCTTTTTATGATTATTGGACTAATAATTCTTTAACGACTATAATACCAAAACTTGAACGATTGATTATAAAGAAAGCTCAATATTATCAATGTGGTTTTATTGATCGTTCACTTATACCTCTATCAACTGGTAACTCATTACAATATCTTCATTTGATATTTCGCTCTAGTTCTTCTGATGCCACATATATGTTTTTTGTTGATAATTTGATAAGAGCACGAATTTCATTTCATACAATGATATTCGAACTGGAAAAAAGTACGTATATCAAGAGAAATCTTGAGATTGTTACGACTATTATTGGTATTTTTGGATAATTATTTGAAATATATCTATTAAGGTTGTTATTATGGAGAAAACAAATGGTCCTCGTTATACGAACTGAAAAATCTGCAATGGTCACATACGGTACAATTAACATTGACCGTCCAATTTCCATTTGAAATTATTTTTGTTCTTCAAAATAATGCTATACCATGTCTCGAATACTTGTATATAACTATTGAACATGAAAAATGTACAAGGGAGCCATATATGAATGGGCCACAACCACAAATCGAATTTTGTGAAAATCATATTCTTCAAATGGCTGATGCAACTCGACTTCGAACTCTTGTTTTACGTCATTTAAGTCTTCATAATATAACAATTCTAATTCGTTCTCTCAATATGCCTCTTTTGAAGAAATTGATAGTTGTTGAAATATTTGACGAAAGTAAGTCTTTTATTATTATTCCAAAAGACAAGCCTAATTTATTTTTCATTTTTAGCACTTGTACATTATGAAGAACTTCGTCAAATTATCAATCACAAGCGTATACCTTGTTTGAAAGAGTTTTACTTTCTTATTTGTTTTCCAGAACATCTCTATAAAGAATTTCAAAAGACTATTGTCAATACATTTGATAGTACATGGCCTTTTAACAATCTTGTTTATCACATTGAAGAACAACTTCTTCGTTTTTACAATATTGATAAAAAAACGAAAAGAGTCATTCTTTTCTATACTTCACCATTACACATGTTACTACAATATACACGTACTATTTGTAATCATTCATTTGCACAATATTCAAGGCAAATCAATCGGCGTTGCATGAGATGGAAGTGTAATGAAGTAGATAATCTCACTCAGCTGACAACTACTTTCAACAAACTAGCTGCTGGATATGTAGATACACTTATTTTAGAATTCTACGAAATGAAAGTTAGTATGCATATGAACGAGAGAGTAGTTTCTTCCTGAGATCTTTTAATAATAGATTCTTTTTTCCTTTTAGTAATTTCTTCAGAGCAACCAGTCTTTTTCATCATGGTCTTCTCTGCGTTTTCCTTGGGTACGTTGTGTGATTTTTGACTTTGAACATAAGGTGATTAAACGATCGGAACGTGCTTACATTATTGATCAAATACTTTATATGTCGCCTCGTCTTTCACAACTCACTGTAGAATGGGAAGATTTATCTCTTTGCTCACGTTCCAATACAAACGTGAAACATTTACGTCTTCGATTAAACAAAAATTGTAAAGATCCAGATGTATACGTTAATATTAATTACCTTGTCCAACTACTACCTAGTATATGCTGTCTCGAAACTAGTCATGGTTATTTATCCTTCAATGAGAATCTCGTGAAATTTATAGTGAAGATTGTTGATACCATCGATCGACTTGTTCAGTTGGTTATAAATAAAAATGGTTTGTTACGACTTGATCCAAAAGTTGAAGTATCAATTGAACAAGCAATATTCAACACTGGTAATAAGCGACTATTGAATTCTAAGATGTGTCAAATAAGTTTTCCACATTTCAACGAACTTCGAATTTGGTTATCATAGTTATGTGCGAAAAGTGAAATTAATTCAAAGAATATTCTGAAGCGTATGTTTCATGATGTTATAATATTTTTTCAAAAGAATTCATCTATGATTGATTTAATACGGAATCAGTTTGTCATTAAATTACTTTTTATATTGAAGGATAAAACAGAAGAACACTTATGATGAAGATTATTCGCCTCTTTATGTTCCAATTTACTAGTACCTTTGTTTTAATACGCATAAATATTCTTCTTATTTGTCATACAGTTAAATAAACAACATGTATATGTATATCGTTAAATGTATAAGGAGTTTATACAACTTTTCGAAAGTTCAACACTATAGTTAATGTTCTCATTTGTTGTACTGATCTGTTAAATTTCTGATTGTAATAACTGACAGGATGAATTATTTTCTCTGTCGAAAATTCTACTTAAGATACGAACGATTGAATATTAGTAGGACCTGTGTTTACAAATTATTTATGTATAGAGCACTATGTTCAATTATGAAAATGAGATGTGCTGACTTTAATAATGACTAATCATCAGATGTTAACATCTGTTCATCATCACTATCGAACTCTTTTTCAATGCTGCTCAAATTCTCTTGAAGACGATCAGATAAGGATGAGCAATAATTAAACATTTGTTCACATGGTTCATCGATTAACTGTGTAGCATTGATGGAATTTATATAATTTTCAAAATGTTTGACGCATTTTTCACAAAATTCGACAACATTTGCAGGTGGACCTATACAGATAAACGATAGTTATATAATTGATCTTTGAAAATTCTTCGATTATCGTTGAAAAGGGTGTGGGTGTGGGTGTCGACTGAAAATAAGACCCACACCCACACCCACACCCACACCCACACCCACACCCACCCTTTGAACAATTTTTAAATTTTATCAAACACAAAATCTTCTTCTTGAATAATTTCTATTTAGTTTAATTCTAAGAACGAAATATTTTCTTTTCTTATCTTCCGCAAAACTCAATAAAAGATGAAGAATTTAACGTTTATTTGTTGGAACTTTTTAATGAGAATTATCAAGTTAAATTCAAATTTCTAGAAAAAAATCCAAAAAGGCTTTTCTTCGTTCTTTTTTTTAGACCAAAATTTCATTCACAAAATTATTTCAAATTTTTGAATTCGATGATTCAGAAAATCAGCAACATAAAGATTTCCTTCATCATCAAAAGATAAACCATAGGGATAATGCAATTGATTTGATTTATTTCCTTGACCATTTCCACCAACGACAATTTCACCTTCTTCTTTTCCTTCACACCAACGCATTATTCGATCGTTACACAAATCTGCTACATAGATTTGATCCAAATCATCAACAATTACTCCTTTAGGTAAACACAACTGACTGAGACTTTTTCCTTGACTAGATCTTCCAGCTACAACTGTTCCTTCTTTTGCATCTTTTCTCCATTTCACCACACGATTATTGTTCACATCTGGTACATAGATAGATTGATCTTCATCAACAAAGATAAAAGTAGGAGTATTGAGTTGATTAAGTTGACTTCCTTGTTCATTTCCACCAGCCACTACAATTCCTTCATTGTTGTATTCTCCCATTTTCCATCGTCTCACTTCATTCTTGTGATAATCAGAAACATAAAGAAATCCATGTATATCCATTGCCAAGCCATAACAAGTAATATTCTTAATGAGAATTTGTTGATTTTGATTAAACCATCGAGTCACTCGTCTGTTCCCATAATCAGCAATGATGATCGAATGATTTTGTTGATCAACAATCACATCTATTGGAAAACTCAATTGATCCATTCGGCTTCCGTTGCCATTTCCGCCGGCAATGATTTGTCCTTCATTTGCATTACATTTCCATTCAACAATACGATGATTATGACTATCAGCAATGAAAATATTTTTCTTCTTATCAATGAAGATTCCATGAGAGCGATTGAGTTGATTTAATTCTTGTCCTTCTCCATTTCCACCAGCTACAGTGATGCCATTTTGTTTCCATTTCTTGAATTTTGGTTCTAGAAAATGATGAAAACAAAAGATTTTGATGAAAAGAAGAAGAAGAAAATCTGTTTTTCATCAAAGAAAAGAGAAAGGGACAACTTTGAATGAAATATTTATAAAAATGCGTGATGAGAAGACAAATTTGATTTGATTTTTTTTGTTCAATTTTGAAAAGATTTTGTCAGCAAAAAACATAAGCCATTCGAAGTTTTGTGTTTGGAAAATAAAAATAAGCTCTTTTGAAAAATGTTTGAGGGTGTTAGTGATCCTTCTAATATACCCCATCTCAAAATTCCAATAAAATAGAACACAATTGTTCTGTTATGGAAATGATTCTTTCAGGTACTAAATATTTTTGTTCTGTTTTGGAAGTGCTACTTCTGGGTGCTGAGTACTTTTATTCTGTTTTGGAAATAGCATCTTACATTCCATAACAGATTTCTTCTGTACTTAGTTATTCATTTTTTTTTGACGACTATATAATTTCAAATATCATTATATAAAATATGGATGCATGAGCTATAAACCTAGAATTTACACGTGAAGATTATTTTTTTAGGCACAAGAAATATGTCAACTCTTATTTTTTTTTTATAGCAAAACTTACTACTTATTGTTGTTGTGTGAGAATTAGTCGACGTTGTAAGCATTGTCGTTTTTGCTGTTGAGGTTGTATGAATTGATGTTTCTGTTGTGCACATTGTAAGCATTGCTGCTGTTGTTGTTGACGCTATAAGAATTGTTGTTTTTGCTGTCGATACATCAATTGTAGTTGTAGTTGTATCAATTATTGGTTCGGTCTTTTTACTGAAAATAATCCATATTGAAATACTAACGATAGTTATTAGGCTAATAATGACAGTGATAATCACGGGAAAGGGTCAACTCGTCACGCTTTTCGTTTTTTTGTTTTTGTAAAAAATCGACGTTACGAAAGCCCGTTAAAGGGGTTTCGTAAGGACAGAGTCAGGGCTTTCGTAACAAAACCTCAGGGCTGTCGTAACGAATTGTACAGGGTGATCGTAACCGGTGATTTGATATCTACTATTTTAAACATCACACCCTCAATTATAGGCATTTCGTAATGAATTTTACACGGTTATCGTAATCGCTTATACAGGGCTGTCGTACGACACTTTGCTGAAGAAGTATGAATGATAATACAGGGCTATCGTAACTCTGTAGGAACGGTTACGTCTTCCCTGTAAAATACGTTACGACAGCCTTGATTTGACACTCTTACGACTCTTGAAATATAGCGTGAGAAGTTCTATTTTAGCTGTTACGAAAGCCCTGTAAAATTCGTTACGAAATCCATGTAATTTCTGTACATAATGACGCACGACTAATATAAACTTATTACGGATTCCCTGTTGCTTCATTACGAAAGTCCTGTGACTGTTACGAACTCCCTGTTGTAATCGTTACGATCACCATGTAAATTTCGTTACGACATCCCTGTATTTTTGGATATTTCTATTTTAGTGGTTACGAAAGCCCTGTTTTTTTTGAAGAGGTCAACTCGTCACGTGACGAGTTGACACGCTCTCATAATCACAATCAATTTTGCTTTCCGATGAAATAAAGATCTAAAATCATAGCTATATTTCGAATAAATAAATCAAATAATACTTACGATCCTGCTTCTTGACGAGTAGATCGTCTAATATTGTTTTTATTCTGTAATCCAGACTAAATATTAAAAACAACTATTCATTTAGAATTCTTTAAAAAGTGTTGATTATTCTCGTAACTAACCATTGAATTTGTTCAATTTGTTAATTTCTTTTAGAATTATTTTATTTCGAGAATGAATATTTCTTCATAAATATTCCTTAATGTATTTCATCTATTTTTAAAATTTATTTTATGTCGAATAAAGATAAGAATATGTTTAAAAGTCTTTTTGATCCTGTGTGGAGATTCTTAGAAAAATAAGTGAAATAAATAAATAATAACAGATTTGATCTTGATTCTATATATTCATATTTCTGTAAACAAAAATTGAACTTGAATCAATCATTAATATATATAATATTTTAGTATGAGATGGAATTAAAAATAATGCAACCATTTCTGAGAATTTTTATCTTATCGATGCGAATAAATTTATTGAAAAAACAGTCTGTTAGTAAAGATTATTAGTGGACGTGAAATATATTAACATTATTTAAAGTTTATTTTACATAAAGAAAAAATAACTATTATTTATTTCTGTTTATTGAGATAAGATGTCTTCTGTTATTCTTTACAAAAAAACACTCAAAAAGCTCTTGTTACACATTCTGCACATGTGTCTTACATACAATGAAAATAAGTCTTTCAGATCTTTCTTTTTAAAATCGTTATTCCATTTCGTAACTTTTTTTAACACACTCACGCACATAAGAAATCTACTTTTCTGGCTAAAATTCGGATAGGACAGAATTAGAGATACTAACTTAGCATTAGTGTTAAGTTAACACTGAGATAATGCAGTGCCAATACTTAGCCAGCATCCCTAAACACAACAATACTTACTTTGCGTTCTGGTGATCTATCATATGCAGTTGCTCGATTTGCAGCCATCTCTACATCTTCTTCGTTTTTGCCAATAAGAAGTTTTTTATATTGCATATTTTGGTAATTAGGTTTAGGTAATTTTCCAAGCGTTGGTTTTGATGATACTGTAGTTGCTACTTTTTTCCTAGTGATGCTGATTGGTTCTGAAAAGGCGAAATCAATTAAAAAGAAATATTAGAACTACACCAGTGATAAAAAGATTGTTAGTTTATTCCTCTTGAAAAGCAGTAATTATATTATAGAAATCGCGTGTTGTAGCTGCTCTCATCTGAATTTGTGAAACGAAAACAGTCTGAAGTTATAATTATGAGACCCATTATCATTGTGGAAATCGTATCCATTTGACTTAGGAGTTCTTTCTACCTAATTCACAAATATGAATACACTTTTAAAATGCTTCACTTTGCACACTTAAAACTACGAGTACCACTAACTGTAATCGTTAGTGCAGTTAGAATTGGGAAGTCATTTAAGGTATAATATTTCTTGCATAAAGAAAATAAGTTTCAAATAAGTAAGTTTTCAATTGGAAAATATTTTTTCTTCGAATAGTGATACTTGACTGCGCTTCGACTGGTTTATCTAACTATGAATGGATCCTTAATTTAGCAAAGAACTCAAAGTGTGTAAAATATTTTATCAACAACTTTTTTGAGAGATAACTGGCGGTCCTAATCCAAACAATAAAAATTTTATGATCCTCTGAAACATGGTTCAAATCTCCTTCTTTTTTTTACGGATCTTGAATATTTTAAAACTTCTCCTCTGACTCTTATGAAATAATTCCATACCTTTGATTTTGTATCAGTATGTCGTCCTTGTTTTGAAAAAAATATGAGAGATTAAATGGTAATCATCTTCTTATATACAGTCCTTCTCTATCTTTTTATTTTACTTCCGAAATTGGTATCTTTGGATTCTTTCTCCACGTTATGAAAGGTATCTATTACAATTTATTTACAACAAAGAAGAAGAAGACCTTTAAAAAATAGGTACGATGGATTATACAAACACAATTTAAAAATTTATCTTTTAGCATGTAATATGATACTGATCATGAAATTAGAAAAAAACAAAACACAATTTACATTTGAAAATCACAAAAAACTCAACAAGATTTCATTGGAATCTATTCTTATCCAAGATAAATTGAACATACATATAACACTTGTTGTATATTCAATTTTAACATATTCTTATTGTACCATGTAGCAAAAAATAATAAAAAATTGAAGAAATATGGTTACCTACACTCTCCGTGTTGATATATTGATTGATTATTACGATTCTTATTGTAACAAGACATGAAACAATATGCACTATTATCTTAACATCTAGTTTCGGTTACCTTCAGCCAATTACTTCAATTTATGTTACTCTCAAATTATACTATCTTGTACTAATTCATACACATTGTTTAGTATATGAATATGTTTATAAAAATAGAGGAAGAAATCTTGAGGGTGGGTGTGGATGTGGTTGTGGGTGCTACATTCATCACATACCGTCACCCATACCCTCAAATGGTACAGATAAGATAAGTCTTTCAATATAATAATTTTTAATATTTTTCTCTTGAAAATATCAAAATATTAAATAGATAATGTCTGAAATAGTGAATAAGCATTTATTGAGAACGAATTACATGAAGCAGAAAACAATATTTAAAGATTAAATAATGTAATAAAATGATAAAGCTTTAGAGATACATCCAAAGAATTGAAAAAAATATATAATGAATAAAATGTTCATATTTTCGAAATTGTTCGATCAGTTGATTTTGTTTATTCTAAAAAAGACAAAATTGAAATTAACAAGAAATACATTTCTGTTTAATTTAAATATCAGATAGAATCAACATATGATGTGTTAACTAAATAAATCTTTGCACGAAAATCAGATCTTCCCTCGTTTGCTTATTATTCCAAGTATTTGTCCATTTAAACAGAAAAGCTTTATACTAGAATAAATTTCACTAGTTAGACCAAATTCAATGAAGAGTGAGCAAATACTCTCATATATCTTAGTCTCGTATTACACGATGATGAAAATCATTAAGAATATCGTACCTGTTGATGCAGAACGGTTCTTTTTTTCTTGAAAAACATAAATAAATGGAATAAGAATGATCATTGTCACAAATATAAATACTATTAAACCAAAGATCCAATAGTTTGATGATACCGAAAATAATTTTTTCCTATAAAGATAAGACATTACTTATTAATACACTGTAGAAGAAAAAGAGACATACGATTGTGAAGGCGCAGTGGTATTGTTGATATTATTTGCGTCCATTATTTCGACGTTGCCCTCAATAGTAGATATTGGTTTGATTGAATTGGTTGTTTTCTTTCGGCGTTGGTAAATTTTGTTAATAAAATAAACAATTTTCGGAGAGATCCATTTGAGAACGATTGTTAAACCACCATATAAACCAAGTAAATAAGTCAGTGTATAAAAAGAATCCAGTTGTTGAATATATGTATATGAACAGATCATTGGTGAACATTTATAAAAATATGATGAATAATTCATTATTGCTGACCATTTTTCAACAAATAGGTCGTTGATAAGATTCATCACAGTCATATTCATTAGAAATCGACTATTAGTTATGTTGAGAGGAATCGGAGTGATATTTTTATTGTATCCTGCCATTGTTTGAATAAGATTAATACATGATTGATCATAGAAACATTCGAGAGTTGATGCTAACAATGATTCACTCGGTGTACAACCCATTTTCAAACCTTTAATTGTTATAGGTTGTGTTGAATTTATTTCGATAAACGAAGCATTAATAATACAAGTAGAATTTAACTGACATGAACAATTATCATCATAGATCATCGCTTGAGTATATAAAGTGGTTTGAAATGTATTGTAAACAGTAGCTTTGTATTGATAATTAGTTCCATACGATGAGACAATTGCATTTCCATGATTTGTAGCTCGAAGTAACGAAAGTAGGCGAATGAATGTTGAAGGAGCATTGGATTTTGCTTCATTAATCATTGAATTAATATGTAAATTAAAATTCCCCTCTGATAATAATTGTTTAGTAATCATTAATGAAGATAAAGATTGTTGAATAGATTGATTTACTGTTTGCATAGAGAGTTGACATAATCCATTTAAAAATTGTAAATGAGTAGAGAGAAATAGACGATAATCTCTTTGATTATAAGCAGATAAATTAGAAATTAAACTTGCTGTAATATTTAATCTCCATTCATTTGACATCAAATCACTTGAACAAATCTATTAGAAAAATAAGATAACTAAACCAAAGAAAATTTGTCTTACCTGATGAAATATCGGTTGAATTTGAAGATATTCATTATATGGAGATGAAATCAATGAACATGGACATTCAAGTTCATCACTATGACCATTCATTAAATTCTTATAGAAATTTAATGATGGTGTTGAAAAGGATTTGGTCAATGTTTCTGGCTGAATAGCTGTATAAAGAGTTAAAATGACAAAAATGATGCTTAGAAGAATAAGATAAAGACGAGTTGACCATTGACCAAGATATTTTACCGTTATTCGGTCGATCTTACTTCCGAATGTTCGTGCAGGAAATATATTTAGATTCAACATTTTTACAGATAAAAATGCTATTAGTTTAGATAATAACGCCTTGAATCGATCAAGTAATTTTCGACGAACTATAATTTAAAAATAAGATCAATATTATATGTTATTATTTAATTACCTTGTTGTTGTCTCTTCGGTTTTTTTTGAAATAAACCAAAAATTATCTTAACGAGTTGGAATGTAATTAGTCGTAATACCATAACAAGACCACCAACCGTAGAAATTAATGTCACTAATAGTTCGCTAAAAGTTTCTGCATGTTTTATTTGAGTGTAAGTACAATAAGTTGGTGCACATGCTTTATAATAATTAGAAAATGACAGTGATGTATTCCATTGTTCAATCATCATTTCTTCAACTATCGATGAAACTGAAGTATTTGGAGGAAAACGAGTTGATGTTTGGTTATATATTAATGGATGTGCATACAAATTTGAATCATTTGCAGACGATGTTTTGTTTATATAATACAAAAGTTGATTGATACAGTTGGAATCGGTATAAAAACATTGAAGTGTTGATAGAAGAAGGAAATCAATAGTATAACATGCATCAACCAATCCAGGTCCCACAAAATCAACAGCGACATATGCCGGACGAACACCAGGTAATCGTGAAATAGTAGGTGTATTCTTAACTGCGAAATCGATTGGTCCTTGACAATTCGGATCAACAGCACATTGACATATTATGTCTCCCGAAAGGTCCTTTCCAACAGTATTAAAAACAAATGTAAACTAAATAAACAGAAAAGAATTAAAACTCGATCAGAATTCCACTAAACAAGATTCAGAACTTTAACTTTACAAGATTTGGATATAGTCTTAAACTTATTCTTAATTTAAATTATATTGACTAAAAGAAATTCAAACATTTCTGCTAAGAATCATAAGTTATAATGATAGTTTTTTAATACAAGAGAAGAAAAAACCATATTAAATACTTCGACTGAAATCTAATAGATACTGTCTAAATTTGATCTTCCCTTCATCAATGATTACTCTCAGATAACAATCACCATTTCCAGCCCACTAGGCAAAATCATAATGTAGTTTCCTTTATCCAAGGTAAAGCTCATTGGAATGGTTGAGAATCTTCCTAACTCTAGCTATGCATATATATATACTGAAAGTCATCGTTTTATTATTCTAGCGCATAATTAAAGGAGAAAAAGAAATGTAAAAATTCTTTAAATATAAACATACATGTAGTGCTTCTGGATTATTAGTACCGGCTGTAGTGTTTTTATAATTTAATATTACTGGAAAATTCACTTCCAATGATACTATTATTGGCTGATCAGCCTGAATGAAAAGACGTGTCATAATATTGAAAAGATTAAAACCGATCACAATTGATTCGGTCAGTTGCTTGATAGTTGTATTTACTTGAATATTGAAGTCTGTTTCAATAAGCACATACGAAGTAACAAAAGTGCGTGCGAGAAAAGCATGAGTATTGTTAGAAGCTGTCGAATTAGCTAGTTGACAAATACTAGATAGTAATCCAAAGTATTGAGCAGCTTTACTAATCCATGCACCAGTCACCGCATCCTGCTCAGGGCTATTCGATAGTATTGAAATCCATGATTCGCTAATTAAATCACTTGAGCATACTTGATGAAAAATGGGAGACAATGAAACAAATGTCTCATAGGGCATTGTAGTATTTGCACAAGGACATGTAAGTGTATCTGGATATAAGATTTGTAACTGATTGTATTTAGTTAACGATGGATTTTTTTCAATGATTGTAATTGTTTGACTCTTGAGTGAAGTAAATAGAAGAAGACAAAGAATAGAACCTAGAATGAAGAAAAAAAACTTAGGTCCATCAGAACAATTCTTCATATTTTTATCGTGATTCTATTGTATATAAATGAATACGAATCAGTATAGTACATTGCAGATAATATTATATTAGTATAAGGACAGAAAAGCTGAATTTTTTATTGTCAAGATTGTCTTGATTCTAACATCATTTTACTGAGTAGGTCGCACAGGTTCTAAATGAATATATGTACCTGCGAATAAAATGAGAAAGCAATATGTGGTGATACGCTGTTGTTTGATATCATCCACTGTTCTATTCGCAGCTGATTTGAATATGTTCAACTGTTTCATCCACCGAGTTAAGTTACGAACAGATGATAAACAATACTCTAGAATTTTAAAAATACGAATCATTTCATAGAGTAATATTACTTCTATTATCGATAAAACATACCATAGTTAATAATGATTTTTATTGGACGATGTCGAATTTTCCATATAATCGTGATCAATAAAGGTGCAATTAACCGAAGAATAGCAGTCAGACCACCATAGAGACTGATTAAAAGAGACAGGATAGATGATAAATTGATCGAATCTATGGTAGAATATGTACACACTAAAGGTGCACATTGACTAAAATAGTTTGTATAGTTGATTTTGGTTGACCATTCTTTTTGTTCAATAAATAGATCAGAGACAAGATCGTTTACAGAAATATTTCGTCGACCAGAAGATAGAGGAAGATCGATCAATTTGAATTTTGACTAGAAGAAAAGAATTGATTAGATATATATCAAATTAAATATATTATACTTGATTAAGAGCTGGAAAATAATCAAATAAAAGTTCTAGACATTGCAAGTTGTACAAACAATCAAGTGTACTTTCAAGAACAGAATCCAGAGGAAAACATCCTCCGAAGAATCCGTCAACACTTGCAGAAATAATCGAATGAACATTATTGACATCATAGGAAACAGGATAATATGTATGATCAACTACGCTCGTATCTAATGGTTGAGCATAGAAAACAGCTGGAGCCTTAATGATGGTTTCAGTGCAAGTTAAATTGTACGGAGGCAAATTATAATCAATATTGATTGGGTCCGCGTTAGACGTAGAAGCGATCAATACTCTACCAGAGCCTATTTGAACAACTGCATTCGTCCCAAAAGCAGACACGAGAGTATTGGAACGATACATTATCTTGACAAGTTGTAATAAAAATGAAGTAATTTGACCATATGCGGATGTTTCAACAAGTTCAACCATCGCTTCTACTTGCGATTCAATATCTTCTTCTTCAAGAAGTTCCACTGTAACAAGTTGATTATTTTGAATATCTAGTAGTGCTTTTGAAACTATATCGTTCGAGATTGAACAAAGAGCAGCTAACAATTCGAACTAGAAACAGAACAATAGATTTATATAATGAAATGTGGGCGTGATGATAACTAAGCGAAGCATCGCGATTGACTTTTGCGATTAAACAATTACTTCTCAATTAAATTTAGTCACTCCACAGAACGTATTAGTATCTTAAATGCAACGAATAATATCATACGACTATACAAAAACAGAGATTTCATGTGTTCGTCTTCACTGATCTTTATTTTATTGTAATAGTTTGCTTTCATCAATTTTTTTCTTTAAATATAAATTGAAGATATGTTTTTGAACTCACCTGAGCAAATGCCGTTGTTCGAAAATCCGCCAATAAATATGCATTGGCTGCTGGTAGATAAAATCCTTCAATCCATTCTCTACTAGCGAAAACGCTCGAACATACAGGATGAAATGAGACCATATTTGTAACGAAAGTGCTATAAGGTATGGTAATAGTTGAACATGGACATGAGAGTGTTTCACCATGTTCATGATGAAGTTGATCAAAGAGTGATGGAGTAAGATTTGAAATGGTAACGATACGATTTGTTGGACTTAACAATGCGATGAAGAACAACACGTAAAGTGAAACTAGAAACAAAAGATAATAAAATGGAACACATTACACTATTATTTAGATAATATTATGAGCTTCCATTTTATTTCTATTAAGAAACAAATTATTTTTATTGACTCACTAATGAGAAGGAAAACGTAGAGCCATGTAAAATATTTCTGTTGCTTGACACGTATTGTTGGATCTATTGGCTGATCAGTGTCATCCTCATAATGATCTTCGTCTGGTATAAACAGATTGTACGTGTACACATAATCATGAAACCATGCAATAAAATTTCTGATTTTCATTCTTAATACAAGCCTATTATCTAAAAATCGAAACAGAATATAGATGTTAGAAAATATTGGTATGAGTATTGGTCTGGGTGTTATAATCATCTCTCACCTACACTCTGAAAAATTTAATTAAAAAAATATTTCATGGAGAAAAATATCCTTTTCTAATGGATGCCAAGTCATGCACGATTTGTGATGATCATCATTGAATTCAATTATTTCTGAATATATTGTATTTTTTCATTTAATTTAGGAAGGAAATTGTTTTATTTTATCGAATAGATTTTATTTTTATTTTAATAGTTCGCTTGAATGCTTGTGTTATAATAATATCCGTCATTTACTTTCCAAGAATATTTCTAATTATCAAGAAAATGCATCGATTTGACTGAGAGAAAAATCTTTTACAAGAAATTACATTTCGATCCTAGTACGTATAATAGAACATAAATCATTAAAATCATGTGTGGATATATCAGTCTCGAGTTGTTTTAGTTCAACGTTCAAATAGTTCTGGGGAAAAGAAGAACACTTACCATTTACATAACTGAATTAAATAAAAAAAAAGAAAACAGCAGTGTTTGTTTACTTTAAGCTAGATATAATTGACAGATAATATACAAAAACAAATCAATATTCACTCGATTTACTGACACAATTATCTTATTCTTTATAATAATATCTACAGTCTGGGAAAAAAGTTTAAGCGAATTTGATTTTTTCGCTTT